CAGGCCAGGATTGCCTTACAAGGGATATACGCCAATCGTTTATATAGATCTACTGCAGGACCAGCAGATTACACTAAGCAATACAACCAACTTTTATCCCACATTCATTATGCTGCTATTGGCCATACTGATGATCTGTCATGGGGGCTACAGAAAGCTCACAGTTCGAGTTTTCTTTGAACTACAGACCTATCTTATTTCCTTCGGTTTCGGTTTTGAGTGGCATCGTTATCTCCACTAGATATTACAAATTCCATTCGCCTCAATTACTGCTGAACCGAGTCCCATGCAGTGAAATTTGTAAGCATTAGATCTGGATCGCAAAGACTGCAAAATCGGCATCGCTAAGTCAAACAATTCCACGGAAATAGGGTTAGTTTGTAATATCCATGGCTCAGTACTCACACTGCGGCGTTGCGTTGGATACAAAACACCGACTAATGGCATTGTTTCGCAGCATTGCATGATGCACTCAACTTCCTTTCCTCCATGTCTCAATCTGCAAAGATGGCACCCTCAATGGAGCAAAAGATCGGAATTTTCCCCGCATCCGGAGGCATTGGCGGAGGTACTGTGAAGCACATCCTCAATCGCCTGTCCCCTAAGGATCTCGTCTTCATCGCTCGACACCCAGAAAAGCTTGCTTCTGAAGCAGCTCTAGGAGCTGAAGTACGCCGAGCAAATTACGATGAAGACGCGACGGTCCAAGTCGCGTTCCGCGGGATCAAAACTCTCTTCTTGATCTCCTACGCATCGGTCGAGCACGAACACAGAGTCGAGGTATGAGAAACTTGCCTTCAAACGTGACGAAGTATCGGCTAACGAAATACCTCAAGCGACACAAACTTGCCATTGACGCCGCGATCGCAAGCGGCGTAGAGTACATCTTCTATGGGTCTTTGGGCTTTGCTGGGTCGGAGAGCAACAAAGAGACAGTAGCTCATGTTATGAAACCGCATCTTGACACTGAAAGATATCTTGAAGATTGTCGGAAGAGCCACCCAGGCTTCGACTTCACCATCATTCGAGAGGGTCTTTACACGGAGTCGTACCCACTCTACACCGCTTTCTTTGACCCCGCGCAACCCCGCAGCGAAGTCAAGATACCGCATGACGGCTCGGGGCCTGGAATCGCCTGGGTGAAGAGGGAGGAATTGGGTGAGGGCACTGCCGAACTCATACTACGCTATGTTCGAGATCCTCAGGGATTCGCTTACCGCAGCAAGACGGTGCTACTTTCAGGAAATAAGAGCTTGACCCTGTCGGAAACAGTCAAGATACTCAGCAAGATCGCAAATATTCCCGTTACCGTCAAGCAGGTCTCGGACGATGAATTCGCGACACAGCCCCAGGTTCCCCCCAACTTTACCTATCGCGGAGTCGATTATTCCAAGGCGTGGGCGTCGTCATTTGAAGCGTTCCGAAGGGAGGAGGCCGCATCTGCTTCTTCACTGCTAAGCGAGCTTCTGGGGAGGGAGCCAGAGGAATTCGAGACCACTGTTCGGAAGTCGATGTCAGCTTAGATAGGTAGGCTGTAGGAGGGCAGATCTCCTCAATCGTCCGTCATTGGGTACATCTTCTTAGCAACTGCTTCAAAGAGATGAAGTCGCCCTGCTCCAATGCTTCACTTATCGCAACCGATCCTAATTGTGTATGTCACACAACTTGTCATGCTTCGCTCTGTTTGGCTCGTGGTTGATCATATGACGGGCAGGAACTGGGCACACGTCAGCAACTTCACTTGTCTTAGACGATCACTTGGAAATTAGGCAACTACCTTGGCAATGATTGATAAACAGCAACTTTCTGTGACCGATTGTAATCGGTCTTTCTCAATTTGAAAGATTTCAGTGTGCGATGAATTTGTGACAGTTTTGCAAGTATGCCTACTTCCACCATTTCCGGCGTCGACCTCGTCAACCTTGGTCCGTTGACAACGACGTGGACCGCCCCAACATCATGCGCTTCCGCACCGCCTTCTGTACAATTGGCGTATGCTACCAATTACAAAGACGGTGTAGCAATGTGGTGGGATAATTGCGACTTTCGAACCGACTTTTACGATGAATGCATACCGTCTGCGCCCCCGGCAAACCGAGAATGGGCTTCCAGGCAAGCCGAAATGAACCCTCAGCGACTGAACTTCCAATTATATCATTCGCCAGGCATTGCTTGTCCAGAAGATTGGTTCACCGCAGGGCTTGCCATAAAAGAAGGACCGTCATCTTGTACAGTGAACGGGAGTTTCGCCGATCCTACTTTCACGCGCACATTTCCCACAAGGACCACTACCATGTCTCAAATTACACCAGGGTTCAGACCATCGAATGAGATATTCCTCTCTGCAATGGAGGTTTCGGAGACTGCTGTGATCTGTTGCCCAAGGTGAGTAAAGTAATGGCTGTCATTCGACTGGAATTACTTTCCAATCTTGACTGAAGTTGATAATAAATGTCATAGCGGATTCACAGCAAGATGGGCCGGTGGCGCATGCTTCTCGACAGTCTCGAATGAAGCATACACTGCCACGACGGGGTGTCAACTTCAATTTGCAAGCCGCATTGAAACTGTGCTTCTTGAAACATACACCTTTTACGGGAGACCTATCACAGGTCTGATGGCGTACACAACGGCTACAACTATGAGTTTCAAAACTACGATCGAGACTATCAAGCCTGCCGATAGCACGCAGTACATAGGATTAGTCACGACGCCTGCAGTAACTCTAGAACACAAGCAGAGTGATGTGGGAGAGATACCACTCACAGGAAAGACATCTCCAACCAGTACATCAGGTGCCGTGTCTTCAAGCAAGATGAGTTCAACTTCCCTCTCGCCTAATTTCTCTTGGCATCCACTGTTAGTACAATACATGGGCTATCACCAAAATCCCTAACAGCTGAAAATCTTTCACCTCTCTCCCCAGCGCCCTCCCGCGATGGCCTCGCAGCCTCCGGCGGGC